AAAAGGGTGACAATCTCGAAAGACTACTCATCACCGGCAAAGTGAAAGGAGAGAGAAGAGAAGAGCTGGCCCGATCAGATTAAGACGACTTTGGACTCCAGCATCAATGTCCCTATCCACTGCGCGGAGGATAGGAAGGAGTGGAGGAACACTATTTTATAGTTATTGATTATTATTGCCGCCCAGAGAAAAATATCTCACAGAAACAATACTTTGAAAGAAAAATGAAATGAACATTTTTTTTGTGAATCGTGGCGGACTGTTGTTTTGCCTAAACAATAGTAAACTAGCGGGCTTGGATACCAAATACGTATTAACAGTAAATCTCCATCAGTCATTCCGACGTTCTGAATGGCGGAATATCCATTAGAGGCTTCCTTTCAATGCTTTTCGGAGCTCCCGTTACAAGCCATTGGATTTAATTTCATGTTACACTCGGATTTTCATGATGGATGCTTTTTTCAGTACGATGTTTTTAATTCATCCACATGAATACTAAAAAAATGTACCATGAATACGTTCTCGTACTTAGTGGTGTTCCGGCCTGTACATATTGTGGGGAAATAGTTCGTTAAAAATTATATTTCTTAGGCTTATCCATACTAATATTATAAAGAGGAAAGATTTATTTGTTTGTTTGTATTGAATAGGCTCCGAAACTATTGAACCGATTTGAAAAAGTCTTTCACTGTTTGGAAGCTACACTATTCCCGAGTGACATAAGCTATAATCTTTTTTGAAAAAAAATTGCGATCCTTACTAAAACTCCAATAATGTAATTCAAGGTGTAAAAAGATTACCTAAAATATTATTTACATCGCGTGCCCTGCGAAAACTATTGATGATAGAATAAAAAATGTACTTACGACTTTATAGAACATATTATTATTTACAACAAGTGTCGGGACAGCATATGTCTAACTATTATAGTTAGGCCGCAATGTTATTTTATTTTAATAAAATAAAACAACGCCAAATATTGAAATTTTTGTTAAAGACCCGAGCGGAGCCGGAGCGGGCTGCTTGTTTGGTATAAAGTAGTTACTACAGCCTACAGACATCAATGTAAATATAACCCTTATCCTGAGGCCTAATGCTTCAACGTCTCAAACGTATTGTAGGAGACTATCGCAGCCTTCAAACTGGACGCATCTTTGCTTCGCATAGAATTAGGTGGACACACAATACGTTCCACCTTCAGTGGTTACGTAATGTTAAAAATACAGGGCGTAGCTGAAATATCCTCTTAGGCTACCGGTGAATGTGTAGGCAATCTCAATACAGATAATTACTTTAAAAACTAAAATAAAAACATGCTTTAATGGTTAGTCGAATTGAAAATGAAAATAATCGTTATATATGAGGCCGTCAGCGCAAAAGTGGCTTAAGCTTACCATCATCAGTAGTATGAAGATAACAAGCTTGAATTTACTTTTACACTGCTTCGCAGGCAAAAACAATACGCGCAAAAATAATGTTTACAAAGCCATTTGTTATCTATGGTTGAAACTAGGGATAGGCCAGTTTTGTATCAAAACTTATTATGTTTTAAATAATGTAATATAATATAAGCACGAATATGAAAAATTGTGGTTTAGGCCACTTTGTCACTGACGGCCTCATATCCTGTCGAACCTGGTCAATATAATAAATAATATCAGACGAAAATATTTGTTGTATTTAAATAAATATAAAAAATGTCGTCAATCCTTCATTCACCATCCTCGTCGATATCGCCGATTATGAAGCAGAGTTCGACGAGCGAACTAACCCATAGGCACAATCCACTGAGTTTCTCGCCGGATCTTCTCGTGGGTCGCAATTCCGATCCGGTGGTATATTCTGCGAAGCACTGCTCTTGCTAGTTGCTAGGACTGATGTTAGCAAATTCTTTCAGGTTGAGCCCGTGAGCTTACCTACCCGTCCGGGCGTAGCTTGAATAGCCTCTAAGGCTACCAGCGAATAGGTAGGCGGAAAAAAGCTTCGGAGTAATGCTTTCCAACTGAACTGAAACCAAAAAAAACAAGTCATGTTGATTGTTTTCTTTGACTATCGCGGTGGTGCGCGCTCGGAATTATTTCCGGATGGTTGAAAGGTAAAATAAAGAATATTATTTCAGCGTTATGCGGCGTTTAAGACAGCAAATTCGACGAAAAAGGCCAGATTTGTGGAAATAAAATTCTTGGATTTTGCAACAGGATAATGCGCTTTCGCACCTTTTTTTTTACTACTTAACCTTGAGCCTTGAGAGGCTATATCAACGTAACCTTAACTGAGCTCACGGGGTTCAAACCTGACGACGTTGCTAACACGAACCCTAGCAAGAGCCGTGCTTCGCTGAATCTATCACCGGATCGGAAACGCGACCCACTGAGAAGATCCAACGAGAAACTCAGTGGGCTGTGTCTGAGGGTTAATTTACTCGTCGAGCCTTTCGTCGCAAGCGACGGGTTCGACGAGAACGATGATCAGCTTTCGCGCAAGGCCATCATTGTGAATGAATTTTTAACCAAAAACTCAACGAATACCATCGAGCAACCAACCACCTTATTCACCACTCCAGATATAGCTCCAGCCGACTTCTTTTTTTCCCCTAAACATAAATTACCACTTCGCGGCATCTGTTTTCATTCGGTAGAAGAAATAAAGGAGAATTCGGGGCGAGAACAGATCTTAATTTTTTTTTTTTGCTTAGGTGGGTGGACGATCTCATAGCCCACCTGATATTAAGTGGTTACAGGAGCCCATAGACATCTACAACGTAAATGCGCCACCCACCTTGAGATATAAGTTCTAAGGTCTCAGTATAGTTACAACGGCTGCCCCGCCCTTCAAACCGAAACGCATTACTGCTTCACGGCAGAAATAATTAATTCCGGGAAAAGCGTTCAAAAATTTTTCGTTTCGGAAAGAGCATACTTTATTTCAACGTCTTCAATTGTAACGCTTATTATTTGATTGAAGCCACATTTTAGCAATCAAATGAGTATGAAGGTATTTTTATATTATTTATAATTAATTTGCTGCTGCGGGACACACGTAATCAGTTTGTAAAAATAGAAGTTCACAGACAGCATTTGCGTCAACACAAACAGATGGGTCCGCGATAAATATGGCAGCCACCGGCCACAAGCTACGATAAATACTAATTACTCTCTGCATTGTAAATAATTATTTATTCTATGTTTTACAATTAACCTAAAAATGTCCTGCGATTTGGATCGCTTTAAATTTTTAAGATTTATTATGAATTTTGCATTTAGACATTACATTATTTTCGTTTTTTTTTCGGTTCGGTTTTTTTTCGATAAAGAATTAATTGTGTCACTCCCTCTCTGGTCTCTGATCTACCAGTCGATCTGTAAATCCACTGGTACGTAAAATCACGAATCAGTGAACAAGCTGCCGTGTTTACTACAGTGGATATGTTATTAACGCCGCCCGCCGCGCCGGTGGTGTTGCGACGAACATGTAATTTACCATGTTAAAAGTATCCTAAATGCCAATCCAGGTGATATCTCGATTGGTGCGAAATTTCTTACAAATCCGTTCTGGGAGATTGAGTAACCAATACCCAAACATTCAAACTTTCAAATTAAAAATATCAGTTTATGTATTATAATGAAAAATCGAAGTAAGTTTTAAACATACTAGGAGGATCAAAAAGTAGTGAGAAGGAGATAGAATATAATGACAATTGATAACTTAATAATTTATTTTTGTACATAGTCTCCGAGTCTCTCTACACACCGAGTTCAGCGCTTTTCCAAGGCTTCAAATCCTTTAAAAAAAAGTTTTGTCGTGGTCCTGCAAAAAGCTCTCCACGGAATCCATCACCTGGCTATCGTCTTCGTACCTGTTTCCCCTTAAGTATTCTTTCAATTTGGGGAACACATAAAAATCGTTAGGCGCCAGATCTGGTGAATAAGGGGGGTGGTCAACCAATTCGAAGCCAGCTTGCTGAATGGCAGCCATTGCAACTGCCGATCTGTACGCGGGTGTATTGTCGTGATGGAACAGCACACCCCTTCGAAGTTTCCCTCTCCTTTTCTCTTTGATGACATTACTCAACTTGGAAATGAAAGCTGCATAATATTGGCCTGCAATAGTGGTTCCACGCTCTAATCAATCAACAATATCCCTTCTGAGTCCCAAACTATTGAGGCCATAACCTTGCCAGCCGATGCCACGACACGAAACTTCTTCGGGGTCGGTGATGGTGGCCGTTTCCATACAGCTTTGTGTAGTTCACTGTTTCCTGCCGGTTTTCTTTTGAAGTTATTCCAGGGATTTATTAAAGTGATAATTCCACTCTACCATCGTACCGCCGAAGAAAAATGTACCCATTCGACCTTACTTCCCCTTAAAGTTTATATGCGGGCCCAGTTACTCCAGATGATTCGCGATGCCGAGAGCTTACCGGTGGTGGTAGTGCTGATGTCCACACCGATAGGTAATTACTAACCTCATTGTTTTTGCCAAGAAACAGTAATACTTCCCGGTCTTAAGATTAAGACAGTCGCTTTACAATAAGATTTAGAGTCTAATTTCATGTCTCATGGTAAGAGGCGATCACGTTAATGTCTATGGGTTCTGGTAACCAGTTTAAACCAGATAGACCATGAGGCTGTGCAACGATTTACGCCATAAAAATAAAATAAAATATTCTAAATTTCATAAAACTTCGCTTTTCTGTCTCAGCAGCAAACAATGCAATTTTAAAAATATTTATGTTAATCTTTGCATATTACAGGAATTTCGTACAAGTCAAAAAAAAATTTTTTTAGCAGTACGTATGCATAGGCTCCTGAACAGCCCTCATTGAACTGATTATTGTACTAAGATGATAGTAATCCGAACTATGGTCGAATTTTATGCACGATAACTCGAACGCGTTCGGTATTGAATCCCGTTGCCGAACATTGCCGAACGCCGGACGCCGGCTCCCGAATAGTACCGAATGAATGCAACTAACTAGTTGTAAACGAACGATCGTTGCGGTGTGACGTTTCTGTTTCATGTGCTCTCGCGAAACTAAGTTATTCTCTTCGTCACACACTTGTGACTGTAAGTGGAGTGAAACTTAATATAGTTTAATAAAAAATTCACATTTACATCACGTGGTGCTTCACAATAATAGTATTCCGTGAATTTCTCAGCGGAATACCCCTAGACGTTTCGCAGACCATCAATTCTGTTTTTGTTACCATAGTTTACGTTGTGCCGGTGTACTAATTGTTTGTCGGAGGTAAGCATTTTCGTCAATAAGTCAATATACTTACGTCCATTTAATTGTCATATTTATTTTATTGTAATGTAATCTGTATTCCTTCTATTATAACTATACTGTAACTGTTGTAACTATACTGAGACCTTAGAACTTATATCCCAAGGTGGGTGACGCATTTACGTTGTAGATGTCTATGGGTTCCAGTAGCCACTTAACATCAGGTGGATTCTGAGCCCGCCCACCCATATATGCCAAAAAAATATATTTGAAAATCTTTTGTTTAACTGATCATTTTGATGTAGTCACCCTACCAGTATTATGTGTGTCTTTCATGAAAGAGGTTGTTCTTGTCGACTGCCGAGGCTAATGTTAGCAAGTCCTCGCGTGGTTGGAATAGCCTCTTTGGCACCTGACGATTAAGTGGAGGAAAAAAAAGAGTCAGTACCTACATTCGCGATAAGACAATGTAGCAATTTACAGAATGCTTAAAAACCGTCAGTTAGGTGAAGTGTTGTCAGATGCATTCACCGTTGTCTCTTAGCAATGATGCTTTTTTTTTAATGTCATGGGCTTTGAGACTTTAATCTTTAAGGCTTCAAGCTCATGAATCTAAGGCTATTTACCTGGAAATCTGCCACCGTAAAACAATTCATTCTTCGATGATCATGAAAAGAACTTCGTCGCGATAAAGAACACTGTCAGACAACAAACACTCCCTTTGATTATTTTCTAAGCAATAAAAATTTCCTTTGCCACGCTCAAGTCTATTGGGTCGGGCCGTTCGCTGACTAAAACCAGTTTTTGACCAGATGATAGTGTGTCATTATTTTATTCCTTGAGGTATCTCTGTGTTCGGGTGTCGGTATTCTTCAATATTTCCTAACGAACGCTTTCCCATTATTAATATTCACTCTTAGACGTGTATAGCCCGAAAACAAAATAGCTATAATCATTATTCAGCGATGAAATGTTTATGCATGGATTTAGTTAAAGGGGCTTAAATGCCGATTCGTTAACCCGATTTCGATAGATCTCATATAACATAATCAATGAAGATTTCGGTTATGGGAACATAATAAACTATTTGTGAATTCAAAGAAAATGGAAACAAAATAGACCTTAAATAGCAATAAATCTGAAGATGAAAAAAGGTTTACTTTAGACCATGAGTGATTTGTACGCTAATTAAATTTCAAACCTAGGGTAAGAGAATAGAGTCGAAATACCTTTAAGACGGAATCTGCAGAGACCAACTCCACTCCTGGCTTGTTGGATCAACGACGATTAATTACCGCTGTCAAAACGATTGGCCCTCGCAAAACGAATTAAAACTCTGTCTCAGCGCCCGTGATTGCAGTCATGAAGACAAAATCCCGGCCCTTATTCCCTGGAATTTACCGCAACATTACTTAAAGGGGCTTACGTAATGACAGTCAACGGGTTTAATTAAAATCTATATTTAAACAGTTGGAACATTGTTTTCTTCTGGTGTTTACACTCTTTTCTTTTTTTGGTACGACTAGAACAAATTATTAACGGGTAAAAAAATCTACTCAGACTTTGTACATACATAAAAGATCTAAACAGAATTTTATTAAGTAATATTGTGATAATTGGGACGTATCAGCAACTATTATGTTAAACACTTCCCAAATAATCGTGTGAATTTGATATATTTGATTGCACATTCATAGAATATTCAATTACATCATTCAATATATATAAATCAACAAACGGGTGGAAAGTATTCATTTAAGTAATTTAACATACACTTAAACCAACAATGGTATCATACAGAATGAGAATAACTGTAAGATATGGATAATAAAAGTAATTAAATATAAATATTAAAGTAGTCTAGATAGTTTATCAAAAACATCAATCTGGAACATTATTTAACCGATGTTTTTTTTGTTCTATCGTATTTTACCTGTGCGCTACCACAGCGTTCATGCGATTGGGATTAAACTTTGTCAATGTATTCCTTACGCTTGCGTGAAGGTTGTATGTCAAGTATAATAATTAATCAGGCGTAGTATTGTAGCGAACGTGGTATGGACATCTGATGCGTAGAGAGAAGATGCATGTGACTAGGAGATGTATGGAAATGGTAGTGCATGATAGAGGTCGACCGAAGAAGACATAGATGGAGTGTGTGAATGACGTTATGAGAGAGAGAGAGAGGAGTGAGTGTTGAGATGACGGCTGATAGAAGAGAATGTAAGAGAAAAATTACCTGTGCCGACCCCACCTAGTGGGATAAAGTGGAGAAAAAGAAGAAGTATTGTAGCGAGCGTATAGTTTCAACAAAAGGGTACTTTTCATACATTTAGCCAATTAGGCTAGATTGATTTAAAAGAATCAAAAACCATTAAAAATACACATGAATAGGAAGCCGAAGTAAAATGTAAATAACCTACTTTATCTTGCTGATCATGGCTAGATTGTTAGAGAAAAACAATAAAATTATTGAAGACGCTCATCAGTCTTGATGTGAGTGCAAATAATCAATTTAAACATACGTCTAAAGTTTGTGAATTACGTTGAAAAATGCCGCTCTATAGATATATATGTTGGCACACGTCAGGGCTGGCTGAGCGGTAGGTTCCGTCATCACTCGTATTCGATTGAACTCAGTTTAGTCAATAAAACTTTTCAATAATGATTATTGAAACTCAACACACACAACTTTCACAATGAGAGGATAAACCGACAGTTTCGTTGCACATACCGACAGACCGACTGACTGACTGACTGACTGTCAGAGACTCACTGCTGAGACGGACGGAATCACTGTCTGACACGAATGCCACGACTCTGTCCACGTACCGCCATTTTATACTGTGGCGTTACGGAGTCTACCCTTCATTTTGTGATATTTATCAAAACAACATTTCATCATTTNTCATACATTTAGCCAATTAGGCTAGATTGATTTAAAAGAATCAAAAACCATTAAAAATACACATGAATAGGAAGCCGAAGTAAAATGTAAATAACCTACTTTATCTTGCTGATCATGGCTAGATTGTTAGAGAAAAACAATAAAATTATTGAAGACGCTCATCAGTCTTGATGTGAGTGCAAATAATCAATTTAAACATACGTCTAAAGTTTGTGAATTACGTTGAAAAATGCCGCTCTATAGATATATATGTTGGCACACGTCAGGGCTGGCTGAGCGGTAGGTTCCGTCATCACTCGTATTCGATTGAACTCAGTTTAGTCAATAAAACTTTTCAATAATGATTATTGAAACTCAACACACACAACTTTCACAATGAGAGGATAAACCGACAGTTTCGTTGCACATACCGACAGACCGACTGACTGACTGACTGACTGTCAGAGACTCACTGCTGAGACGGACGGAATCACTGTCTGACACGAATGCCACGACTCTGTCCACGTACCGCCATTTTATACTGTGGCGTTACGGAGTCTACCCTTCATTTTGTGATATTTATCAAAACAACATTTCATCATTTAAAAATAATAATCAAAACCACCGTCTTAATATCACTAAAAATCGTTATCCACGACAACTAAAAGTCGTTATCCACGACAACTAAAAGTCGTTATCCACGACATATATATTAAGTTACATTAATAATTGCGCGTTAAAAGGTGAAGTATTAATAAGTACGGCACACTATGTGCCACCAAGTACGGCACACCATTTTGCTGACATCAGTACCACCCTTCAGCCAATATCGACTTCTAATATATTTGTTATTTCCACACCATTTATATAATACAACTGGATGATTTATTTTGCAGCGAATTTGTCTTTATCAGAATGTGAAGTTAAAAATCACCATGAAATATGTGGTCGAAGTCCCTGTCGTAGGCTGAAACCGCGGTATCACTCTTCAAAATTAAATGCATCACTGCTTCGTTGAAACACGCCGGATGGTGGTAGCTACACCTGCGGACTTACAGTACTAAAGCGTACTGTAAGTCCACCAGGATTAGTGAAACAAACACCACTTTATATTTAGGTACTTATTATTTAGTTATCCGTTTCAAATATGTGTAGGTCGGCATTACGCCAGGGTTTTCACACAAGATCTATTACAATACAAATACAATAAAATTCTATAAAACGTTAACTTTACTTCTTTATTACAAAAAGCCACGTCTTAGTTTTTACACAATTAGCCATTTTGTGATGGTTATAGCAACTACAACAACAAATTTAATTACTGCGAAACAATTCACAAAATATGGCTTAATATTCACAATAGATATTTTAGTGATTTTCACATGACTCTCGCATTAATTTATTTTACATAAATTACTTATAACTAACATAAACTAACATTATTTTTATCCAGCCTAATAATAGATGACGCCAACAACTCATTTGTATAACAATTATAGGTACAATACTTAATTAAATTATTACTGTTAATTATAATATAAATTATTATTAATATTTATGCTTTATTAATATTTAATTGTTTATCCAGTAATTTGTGCTTTTAAACAATAATATACTTAAACATTAAATATATTCTGAAAATGTTTACATCAAAACAGTGTCTGCTAAATATTAATATGGTAGAATAAACTAAACTAATACATATAAATATTATTATGTTAATTATTGCCAATAGTGGCGTTTGCGCCCATATTATGTACGCTGCAACGATATTGCCTTATTTATCAGTATCTTTTATTTATTTATTTTATTTATTTATTTATGTACACACAGAAAACAAGACACAGTACAGAGTAATAGGAAAATTATGTACAAAGGCACTGCTTATTTCTTTGAGAAATCTCTTCCAGCAGACCTGCGAGAGGATAATGAGAATAATAATAAAAAGTGATAAGTGTGTGTAGAACACATAACTAAAATAACAAATACAACATGANTAATGAGAATAATAATAAAAAGTGATAAGTGTGTGTAGAACACATAACTAAAATAACAAATACAACATGAGAATTATAGCACATACACATAGCAAATATTATAAGTAACACAGTAACACTCGTATATGCGAAGAGTA